TATATATATATTAAGAAAAGTAGAATGGGCCACCTGAAAAAGGAAGAGCTGAAGAACCTCCAGTTCCTGGTTCCTATCAGCTTTCTTTTGCTTGTCCGCCACCAATTTCAGAGCCGATCGAAACGGCCCTCTGCCGGATTTCTCCCCAAGGTAATCATTTTTCATCTTCTGGATTTTTTATTCTTCCACCACCTTATCATTAATTAGTTCTGTGTTTTCAGTTTGACTTGGGGCGGGGGGAGGGTTCAATCCCTATTTTTGGCTACTGTGATTGGGTTCTATCCACGTTTAGTTGAATTGGTTTGTTGATATTTTCATGAGTTTCTTGGAGCTCTGCTGGATCTGTATCCTATGTTTCGATTTGAGAGATTTCTGGTTTTCCTGCGTTGGGTGAAAATTATCTTTTTTTCTTCCTTTCTTCGATTTGGATGTTATCCAATGAAAGGATCTGGTGTTCTGAGGTTGATTAGGTTAAGAAATCGAGTTTGTCTTTGTGTTTTTATTCTTGGATTAAAATGTTCTGGTACTGTTTCGGCAATTATCTGCTTACATCGCCTTCATTTTTGAATCTTTCTCTTCGGGATGAAATTTTCTCAGATCGTTCTCGTACCCTCAGCTGTGTTGAGAGTTTTTTATAATCATCTCATGATATTATTAACTTTGTTGAGTTCCTGGCACTTCTAGCTGCTGAGGTTGAATTGGAAGATTGGAAGATGGCTGATGATCTGATCACCCGATACTGGTGTTACATGTGTCGGCAAAGAGTGAACCCGGTCATGGAGGTGGAACCTAAATGCCCCTTCTGTGACAGTGGGTTTGTGGAAGAAATGGATGGAATGGAAGTACCTGAAACTGATGATGTTGGATCTGAGAGAGTCCTTTCTCCATGGGCTTCTATCCTACTAGGGATGATGGCTAATCCTTCACGTCGCCGCCGTGGCAGAAGGATCTTGAGGATTGAAGAAGATGATGACTCTGATCTGGACCGTGAGCAGGAATCCTCTGCACGGAGGCGGAGGAGGGAGTTGGAGGATGAAGATAGAAGGATGGGGAGAGAAGAAGAAGAGAATGAGTCAGAATCTGAGCGTGAATTGGACTCTAATCTTCGAAGAAGGAGACGGAGTACAGCCATACTTCAATTTCTTCATAGCATTCGTGAAGATTTTCGTTCAGATTCTAATGAAGCAGACAGGGAAAGGGATGGGGACAGGGAAAGGGGAAAGGGATGGGAACTGGGAAAGAGAAAGAGAACGGGATAGACGGAGTCTGATCTTAATCAATACTTTTAATCAGGCGGTTGTTCTCCAAGGATTCGTTGATTCAGATCAAAACCAAAGCCAAGACTCGAATGGTGCTGCCTTTGGTGCTTCCATTGGAGATTACTTCATTGGATCAGGACTGGATTTGCTGTTGCAGCATCTGGCTGAGAATGATCCAAACCGCTATGGCACACCTCCTGCCCAGAAAGAGGCGGTAGATGGGATGCCTACTGTGAAAATTGAAGAGAATATGATCTGTCCAGTCTGTTTGGAAGACTTTGAAATTGGAATGAAAGCTAGAGAAATGCCATGCAGACATTATTTTCATTCTGGGTGTATTTTACCATGGTTGGAACTCCATAGTTCTTGCCCTGTGTGCAGATTTCAGTTGCCTGCAGATGAAACAAAGACTTCTAGAGGGCTAACTGATAGCAGTAGGCTAGGGGGGAGCGGTCGGGATGGCGGTGTTGGTGGTACGAGAAATAGGTTGAGGGCTTCTGCCTCACGGCCTTTCAGTGGCCTCTTCTCATTTTCAGGCTCTCAGGGTGATGGAAATCCTTCCTCATCTACATCTGATCACAACTCCCCTTCAGAAGAGAATTAAAGATGTTTCTTTGATGTCTATATCCTACTTTTGTTGCACTTGTGATTCCATATATATTGCTATGGAATATAAAACCAGAAAGCCCTTTTTCTTAAGCAGCTCTAAACTCGCAGACTTATTTATTTTTGGTGGAGCTGATTTTTACTCTATAATGGTTCCGGCAGTCTACAGAATCTGGAAAGAAGTGTCTTGGTGAATGATATTCTGTTTATGATCTGGTTATCTATGCACACTTGTGTGGTGGGAGCATGGCTATGTGGGTTTGTGTTTTGTGCTACTCCTGCGTGTCTGTTCATGTATTTTGTTTCAGATTTTGAATATGCAGCTGCATTTTTAAATGTAGTGGAAGTTATTGGCACTTGGCATGTAAATTTTTCTTAATTGAGGATTTATGTACATACGACACAATTCTTATATATTTACACATCTCTCACATGAACTTTATTATTTACACATCACACTCAAATATTTGACACACATCAAACATGTTACCATTATCATGCACAAGTTCTGGTGTGATTATGGAATGAAAGTGTTATATATTTAAGTACAAGTTTTAGGTGTTGGATATGTATATACATAAGAATTTTGTTTCATGCATGTAATTTTTTCTTAATTGTTACATTACCAAGACTAGTATAGTGTTTTCTTGCTCCAGACATTGCAGGATGACCAATGTTTACTTGAATTATAGGGGGCATTGACATACAGACCACCCAATCCCTATGTATTTACATGTCTAACTTTTAAACTTTGCTTTTTGACATTTATACCGCCCAAATCTCTAATGTCACATTAAAAATATCACTATTTTAAATTTTTTTCATGCAATAGGTAAGATGACATATATGTAACAATTGAAGTTTAGGTGTTAGATATGTGAACACATGATAACTGAGTGGAATCTACGTGAACCTTCCTAAACTATACCACGTGGCTTTTAAAAAATTTAAATAGTGCAGCTGATTAATTTATACTTCATACAGAAGTTATATTAAGAAAATGAAAGTATTTATAGTTATTTTAAAAACATATTAAAATTTGAACATATATCTGCTAAATTTTGAAGACAGCTGTGATTAGAAGATTGTTTTTTTCTAAAATACTTAGAAAAAAAGGGCGTTCATATTAGCTTTGAATTCATTCAATATTTGAAATGTAGAGCTGGATGGTGGTGTTATAAAAGTCGCAAGATTTTTAATTTATTTAAGAAAATATGTTACTAATGACATGAGTTGAATACCTGTTATTTAGTGGACTCGAATCTGTAGATGATCGTTATATACATACTGACAGGTAGGGCTGTCAAAACGGTACGTTGTTCGCTAACAGATTTTGTTTGGTTCGTTAAGAAGCTCGTGTTCGGCTCGTTTGCTA